GTTTGAACAGCATTGAGTAAGAATAAAGTTTAGTAACCATCAGGTTACTGAGTTTGTTAGGGTTACATGGCATAGAAAACCTAACCATAGTCTACGCTTAAGCAATTCTGAGACCGAATGTCATACAGGCGCAACTAACTTCAACAAAGCATATTTAAATACATTTTTCGACATCTTATAGGTTCTAAAAAGACAAAACTTTCAACCAAAAATTTTTTCAGTTTAGATGAAATCAGTAACTCAACAATACATATACCTCCTAAAAATCATCCTACTAAAGAATAGCAAGAACAATCCCAGCAATAAAAATAAAGCTAAAACTATCGAAGCTCCTACTTCAAAGGATGAACAAATAAGTTTTTGAACTAGTAAAGAACGTTGTAATATATCTATTCAAGAATTAATACAAGAATTTTGGAATAGAAGAAAGGAGTAGGTGACGCTGTTGGTAAAATTTAATATATTGTTAAAACGGGAACAAAAAGTTTCCTATTAAGACATAAAAAATCGTATAAAGTAGTTTGCCAAGATGTATTATGTAAATTTCATTGCCTTCCTCAGGAGCTTCTGAGCGTCTAAAGCAAGTTATGAAGTTCCCTGTTGAATGCAATGCATTTGACATGTCTATAGAATAATGTTATTGTTTAAGAAATATTTCAGATTATTCTTCCAATTTTTGTTCTTTTATTTTAGTAAATCAAGATTTATATTGTTAAATGTTCACTTTTTCCACTTAATGCCGAGCAACTTTATGCACACTTTTACTTAGTCCAAGGTGCAACACCTGAACTCTCAAGGTGCAACTTGGTGTTGTAGTTTACAAATTTTAATGAATAGTTGCATAGCCCCGTAGGAGAAATCACCAGGGCATTTAGAATAGTTAATTAATTAAAAAGGTTTTTAATTTTTAGATGTCGGCGTTTGGTTTAAATGCTGGTCCTCACTGTTGTATGTAACATACAATATTTAAAACCTTATATATCTGAAAATAAATCAATCTTAAGGTACAACACCTTCCACTAACAGTATGGAGCCGTGTGGAGTGTTACTATTTGAATTTACTGATTACTTCTTAATTAATTACACGTTTATTTTGTTTAATTTAAGTTAATATAGGGTAAAGTAGGGTAATTTCGGCGTATTAAGCTATTTTGCTGTTTATAGACAACGGTTGCTTTAATAATGTTAAAAAATCATGCATATCGATGCACTGCAGATATATCTATTAAATAATAGTTAAAAAATTGTTTCCAACTTACAAAGTTTTACGTAAAACCTGTTTTACAAAATACTCAAAAATGACGAAATTAGCGACCTAGTATGGTATTTTCGGCACTATGGTACGGTAAATTCGGCATAGTTATGAAAATTAAGAAGTTTGTTGAAAACGCATTGATATATTTAAAATATTATAAACAGCAATAAATCTGGATTGTATAAAGAATTGTCTCTTAAATAGAATTTGTTACACCTAATTGGCACTTATTTAAGGGCGTTTCAGTTGCAAAAAATAATAATTTTTGAACCACCTATTTATTTTATTAAAGTATAAATGTCATATATTTTTAAAGTATGAATGTCACCTTTTTTATTAAAGTATGAATGTCACCCAAAACAGAAACCTTATTAAATATAAATGTGCTTCCAAAGTATAATTGTTAATGAAACGATTACTAATTTCTACGATTTCGATGATTATTTCTAAATTCTGTTTAAATAAGAATTTATGTTTATAAGCTCATAAGTAGTTCATAAAATAATATTTTACATAACTTCAATAGTTAAACTTAAAAAAATGAAAAACAAAACTCAAAGGAAACTTTTTAACAAGAGATTTATTTAAGAAAATTAAAACACATTTTATCAATATATGACATATAACTCTTTTTTTAAGAATCAGTGCTTTATACAGTCATCACAAGTAAATACTTTTTTAGTATAAACACCACATATAGCAGCACATGTTTCATGCCACCATCTACAGCATTTAAGGCATTTATCCCAATTATCTTTTAAATAAGGATCGACAGGATCACCATAACTGTATTGACACTTTGCACAAAGTTGTTTATTAATCGCACCTTTAGCATCAAGGTTTTTCAAACACGTCTTTTGATGAGTAGATATACTTTTTTTAATGCACTTTTTACGTGGCTGTCTGTTCTTATATTTCAAGTTTAAAGATTCCTCTAGCTGAGATTTATATGGTGATCCAGTAATTTTTTCAGCATGATTTACCCTCCTTTTTATACCTGTTCGCTTTGCATTTTTAATGTCAAGTCCAGCTAGTGATCCAAATGTAACACCATAAGCTTGTGAGGTTTCATCGTGTGAGGTGGCTAATTCTGATGACTTCTGAAGTGTAAATGATGAATTTGGTGAAATAGATTCTAAATAAAAATTATTTAACTAAAGAGGGTGAATAAAAATAGGCAACATGCAAATTATAAAAAATAGTTAAAATGTTTTTAAAAAATTTGAACTTTCTTTAAGAAACCTTTTTTTAGGTTAATAAAACAACAGATAAGTTAATATTTTGCTTGATTTTAAAAAAGTCATATTTGTATTTTAAATAAAATGCGGAAGATGTTAAAAATAATACAACATTTATGACGATTTACCTTTTTGAGTGTCAATAACACAATCTGTAACAAAATCAATATTATCTAATTCTTTAGCAGAGTCTAACCCATTGTTGAGAGTAGGGTGCATTTCAGAGGTATTATTTGGTTTTGGAATTTTTGATACAACATACGAGTGATCAGTAGCCTTGGCTGCAGCAAAGTCTTCTTCAGTGAACACATTTCTATCAAATGGATATATTCCACATTTTTTGAACCCTGACTGACAATTTTGAACAGTTGCAGCTTTCCCATAGGCTTTTCCAAATAATTCACCAACCTCTAGTTCAGTTACGGGACGACCAGGATGGTGACGAAGCCAAGTACTAACCTCCTGATCATAGAATATTTTGAGGCTTTTAAAAAACGAAACATCAAGTGGTTGCAGTTTGTGGGTGCAGTGGGATGGAAGTGATAAAATAATAACATTTGAGTGGCGCGCTTTTTTAATAACACTAAGATTTTTTTTATGACTTGAATGTCCATCTAAAATTAGAAGAACTGGTTGGTTTCTTGACTGAGGCTGGACTGCTTGTAAAAAATGATCAAACCATATTTCAAACAACTCAGTTGTTATCCAGCCATTTTTGCTGCCACCAGAAATAGAACCTATTGGGGCTTTATCTAAAAATTCAGGTTTCACTCGAATACGTGGATAGATCAACATCGGAGGGACAAAAAACCCGCTTGCTGATTGGCAACAAACTATTGTGATTGTTTTACCTCTTTCGGAGCTTGTTAAGCCACCAACACTGTGTTTTCCCTTAAGAGCAACAATTTTTCCTGGTTTATGGCAAATAGACAATCCAGATTCATCTACGTTGAATAAGTTTGATGGTGGAATAATCTGCATCCCATTAGCGTTAAACATTATTTTTTCTAGTTCATCGTAAAAACGATTAACTTTTATTCTATTAAAACCAATGGCTCGATGCAATGACGTTGACTCAGCAACTCTGACAGAGAGTTCATTATGGCGTTTCAAAAAACCCCTAAACCATTCTTTTCCTGCTGACTTAGTTTCACTATTAAATTTGTGAATAATTCTATTTTCTTCACAAAACTGAAATACCATTTGTTTTACATCTTTTGGAGACAAACCAAACAATCTCTGTGACATGGTCAGAAGAACTTCTACGAGCTCTTTTTCTTGAAAAGCTGAGAGTGTTGTTGGGTGTCCTGCACGTAACTTTTTAACAAAATTATCAACAGGTGCTCGTTTTATATAGTCATGTAGTGTTTGTCTTGGTATTTTATATTGTTTAGCAGCAGAATATTTCGAGCAACCATTAACTAAAACTGCATTTACTACCATTTTTAATGATTCTTGTGACCAATTACCATATTTTACACGTTTTGAACTCATTATATGATGCTGTAAAATAATGTTTACATATATATATATATATATATATATATATATATATATATATATATATATATATATATATATATATATATATATATATATATATATATATATATATATATATATACATATATATATATATATATATATGTATATATATATATAATATATATTTATATAAATATATATATATATTATTATTATTATTATATGCATATTATTCAATAATATTCAACTGTATGTATATAATTAATAAAATTATTATATACATATTGTTATGTATGACATAAATTTAAAATATATTGTGGGGAACTATTATTTTGATAAGTTTCACAGTGACACTAACTAAATTCACTTTTTTACTAACTCGTTATTAGTTTAATATTATCTGAGTTACTAAAATCAATTTCTTCTATACATTCTTCTATATATTTAAAACGTTTATTTCCATTTTAGTTTTGGAGAAACAACAGGTCGGCAAATTCGGCACTGCCGAAATTAAGAACTATTTATAAGCCGAAATTATCTCCTTAAAGCAGTCCTAGGGGAAACTCTTATATCTTGTAAAATACTTTGAGTTTAATTTTATTGTTGCTCACATTTTGTTCAGTGTATATTTTTGAATGAAATAAATACAAATTTTTGGCAGAAATTTTTGGAAAAAATCATTTATCCTCTATTTTCAAAAAAAAAAAAATGTTAAGAAAAAGCTAATAATCATAAAATAACGTACCTATAATGTAAAAATAGAAGTTTAAACCAATATTTTTAGAAAAACTGTTTATCGTTCTACAATACTCAATTATAGTTTTGATATTTCATTAAATAAATATTTTTAGGTGTCTTTTAAAGTGGTGCCGAAATTATCTCCCTGCCGAAATTACCCTACTTTACCCTATTTATCAAATATTTTATCTACATTTGTTACTTTATTGCAAAAAATAAAAACTGACTTTAAATATTTTTTTTTGTTTTCGTACTAAAATTTTAAACTAATTACTTATCTTTAGAAGTATCCTTAAATCTAAATATGATTTTTATGGACGAAGAGTACATAGAGCAATATTATGATCCTACAAATGAACCATCGTTGAATCTAAACAACCGATTTAAAGCTGCGGTAAAGTTGTTTTTTTAGTTGTTTTTTTTTAATTCAATTCTTTACGTTTTATTAGGTTCCTATATTTTTACGTTTGATTTCTTTTAGTATTAGTTTTTCTTTTTTGATATTTTTCATTTATACATCATGGTGTTTATTTATTTATGGTTTGTTTAGTATTGTTTATATAGTATATATTATTTAATTTAATTTTAGTTTATTTTTATTTAACAGATGCGAAATCTTTATAACAAATACAATAACAATGTTCAGTTTGACGTAAAGTTACTGTCTATAAAGTACGTTAAGTATAATGTTGCATTAAATTAAGTAGTTCAATATTTATTTACTGTTTTATTATTCAATTCTATGTAGTTTTAGTTTGGAACATTTGTTATACATATCAGGTGTTGCTATTCAGCTAATGATAAGTGATGCAAATTATAATTTTAAGTGATGAAATATAACAATAAAATTTTTATATGAAAAAATAAATACGTAAAATATTTTGTTTAGGGATGGAATATCAATAATAAAAGATAAAATAAACGAATCAAGATTGCCTTAACTACGTTAGTTGACTATTTTTAGTTGTTATAAATGTGCTCATCGACTACATTTGTTACTAACACAATTCTTTTATGCAAAAGTCTTAAACCTACTATGATATCGATATGAATAATTACAAACAATACTCTGCGTTATTTATCATATTTATGTGTAAAATATTTTATTTTTTAAACTGAACAAAGTTGTTGCGTTCAATAATCTTATTTAAGCCCTTATAGTTTAAAAACTTTATTAAATAATGGAAAAATTATATTTGCAAATATAATAGTTTTTGAATATGTTTTTCTGGTTTTAAAAGTATATATAAACGAGTTTATAACGACAACATAAACGATATATTTATAAACATTTGAAAAGACTATGATAAAGTTATTAGTTTGTAGAATAACTAAAAATGGTTAGGGTATTGTCCGGGGGTGGAGTTAGAATTTTTTATGTTTAAGCTATTTTCCAGACATGGAGCAAATTCTATATAATTTATATCTATACTTAAGTCAAATAAAGATGTGTTTTAAAAGTTTACAATGATTGAAGTCTGAGAATAGAAAAGCTCTAACGTTTTGACGACACCTACCTTGATCGTGATAGCAAAAAGTTGATTAACTTTTTTTGTCACTATTTACAACTATATTTTTATTCCTTGATAAGTTTTAGAATTCATAAAAAATTCTTTTGACGTTCAAAAACATTAGCTTTATAAAGTTTGTATCCCCCTAAATTTGAGGGGGTTCAAACTTTATATGTTCATGTGTTTTAAACGCTCAGAGATTATTGCATGAATTTTAAAAATTATTGATAAACACAGATTTATTTGAAAATACTAAAAAAATAATTCATCTACTTGTTGTTATCAAGTTGAAGAATTATTGAATGAATTAAATTGGGGCAGGTGTTGCCAATATTTTACGTTTTTTATTTCCAGACTCGTTTTTTATTTATTTACGTTTTTTATTTCCAGACTGGAAATAAAAAACGTAAAATATTTTTTTTAAAAAAAACAACAATATATTTTACGTTTTTTATTTCCAGACTCCAAATAACACAATATTTCAAAAAATATTTTTATTTAACATAAGTAATAATACAAATTTTTGGAGTTTGCTCTAAGTCTGGAAATTACCTCAAACAATAAAAAATTCAGTATCCGCACTTGTTTTCGAATTCAAAAACATTTTTTTAGTAAAAAGTCTTGCAATTTAGTCTTTTAAGTTACAGAAAACAACGGTATAAAAGTCTAATACTTGAAAATTTCACTGTTGTAAGCTATTTACAAATGTTTTAGTTGAAAAGAATAAACTAACAAAAGCAGCAGTGATACACCATGTAACAGTGCTGCAAAAGAAGGGGGCATACACAGATAAGAAATTAATTCTTGTTTGCTGCTGATAAAAAGGGTAATATTAACAAATATTAGGTATTTATAATTAGATATTTATAAATATAAGATAAAAAGCAGTACATTTTTGTTTCTGTGTGTAATTTTTTATGTTTATACAATTAGAGGCTGGTCATTAGCTTGTAATCAATTTAAACAATTATCCAAATATTCATTAGCTGATTAAGATGATGTGTCTCTTGATTTTCATGTTGATATTTTAGTAGGTATAGACTTTTATCATAGTTTTATTACTGGAAGAATCGTAAGAAGTCCAATAGGTGGTCTAGTAGCAAGTAAATCAATCTTAGGGTGGTTATTAAGTGGTCCTATTTCTCTGGAAAAAAAAAAAAAAAATACCACAAAAACAGTTTTTACTAGTCATTCTATGCACTGTGAGGTTGAGAGTGAAATAGATGAGTTTAGGAAAGATCTAAATAAATTTTGGTCTGTTGAAACCATAGAATCTCCTGAGAGTTGTGTGATGTATCAGTTTCAAAGAGATCTCACACATAACGGGGAAGGACATATAACAAAGTTACCATTCAAAACTGATCATGATTTTTTACCTGTTAACTATAATATTTGTAAAAAACGTCTGGCTAATTTAAAGGTAAGATTAAATGATAAACAACTGGTTACATAATATAATCAAATTTTTATAGATTATGAAAAGAATAATATAATAGAAAGAGTTAGTTAGTCTGATATATTTAAAGAACCAGGGTATGTGCATTATTTGCCTCATAGGCCTGTCATTCGAGGAGATAAGGATACTACAAAAATTAGAGCTGTTTTTGATGCGTCCTGTTCGACAACAGGACCGTCTTTAAATGATTGCTTGTTTTAGGTTCTAAATTATTATCAAAAATATTTGACATTTTACTAAAATTTAGGTTTAATGCTATAGGGATAACTGCTGATATAAAACAAGCATTCGTAAACATTGAAATCTCTCCTGAGCACATAGATTACTTAAGGTTCTTGTGGTACGAGAGAATATCTGATAAGGAGGCTAAACTAATTGTATATAGATTTCTTAGAGCTGTTTTTGGTTTAACTAACAGTCCTTTTCTTTTAAATGCCACTTAATAAACTTTTAAACTTTTACCACTTTTAAACACCATCTTAATAAATACATTAAACATGATGAAAAATTTATTGAAAGATTAATAAATGATCTTTATGTTGACTGCATAAAGATCATCTATTTAATATTCTAAAATTGTTTAACAGCCTCTGGCTGTGAAACAATTTTAGAAGGGAAAATACTTTATAAAAAAATTTAAATGTATATTTTTAGATGCAGGATTCGAATTAAGAAAATGGATTACAAATGATCACGAATTACAAAATTATTTTAATAAAAAGGAAACAAATCAAATTGAAAACTTAAAATGTAATCTAAAAGTTGATGAATTAAAATTTTTTGAAAGTGAAAATATTAAAAATAAAAACAATAATAATTCTATAAAAATCTTAGAAATTGCGCGGGATATATTAAAAGATGAGTTTGTTTTTAAGTTTGAAGAATTTGTTAAAAATGCAAGAATGCTAAAAATTACTAAAAGAAATATTCTTAAGATGGCAGCATCTTTCTTTGATCCTCTAGGTTTTTTAACACCAATAACTTTAAGAGTAAAAACAATTTTTCAATTAATTTGAAAGAGATAAAAGTGGATTGGATGAAATAGTAACAGTAGCAATAGAATTAGCTTTGACAGAATTTTTAAAGGATCTTGAGTTATTAAGTTTTGTAAGAATTCCTAGATTTGTGTTGGAGAGAGTTAATGAGAGTAGTAAGCGTGTTCAATTGCATGGATTTTGTGACAGTTCTAAATTAATTTATTGTGCTTTTGTATTTCTTGTTGTAGAAACTAGTTTAGGAGTGAATAGGAAGTTTTTAGTTTCAAAGTCACGTGTTTCACCCTTACAAAAATTAAGTATACCTAGAATAGAGTTATTAGGTTGTGTGTTACTGAGCCGACTTTTAGAGAAAGTGTTAAGAGTTTTGAAGGGAAGAGTGCACTTTGAGGATGTAAGTTGCTGGTGTGATTCAGAAGTGGCATTGTATTGGATTAAGGGTAAAAAAAGAACGTGTAAACCATGGGTCGAGAATAGAGTGAATGCGATTTGAAAAGTGGTTGATAGAGAAAAATGGAATCACATTAATAGGGAGTTAAACCCAGCTGATTTTCCTATTCGAATAAGTAATTTTGTTGATTTAGGACATTGGTTGAAAGGATCAGAACTTTTGTTAAATATGAATAAAGAGAAAAATGAATTTAAAGTAGATACAAAGTTTCAGGTTGATATTACGTCTGAGTGTAAGAGAGGAGAAAATGTAGTTATTTGTAATGTTGTTTTGGACTCATCACCAAGTTTGAGTAGTATCATCGATGCATGTAGATTTAGTTCATTTGAAAAGTTAATTATTAGTACTGGATATGTATTTCAATTTATCAACAGTTTGTTAAAAACAATTAAAAAGCTACCATTAAACAAACAAGATACTTTGACGACAGATGAGTACAAATTTGCACTCAATGAATGGATTAGAGATGAGCAAAGAATTTTACAAAATGAAAAAAGTTTTGATAAACTGAAAAACTGTTTAAAGTTATTTGATGGTGAAGACAAACTAATACGATTACGAGGAAGATTTGAAAATGCTAATTTAAACTTTGCAGAAAAACATCCTTTAATATTACGTGGAAAAGAAAGTTGGTTTACAATATTACTGATTCGTAACTGTCATAAACAAGTTTTGAATCATGGAATCGAATCGACGTAATTCTGGATAATAAAAGGACGATCAACGATAAAAAGTACTATTAGACAATGTGTAACATGCTAGAAATTTCAAGGAAAAATATTGTTACCACCTAGCAGCCCAGATTTACCTGATTTTTGAGTTAATAATTTATATTCCTTTCAAGCAACTGGTTTAGATTATGCAGGAACTTTATTTGTAAAAACAAATAATAAGAATGCTGCTTGTAAGATCTATGTATTACTATTGACTTGCGCGTCTAGTCGAGCAATCCATCTTGAAATGACAACCCGACATGAAAGTTCCGGCCTTCATAAGAGCTTTTAAGCGTTTTGCAGCACGAAGAGGTTTTCCTGATCTTATTATCTCCGATAATTTTAAGACCTTTATATCTAAGGAAGTTAAAAATTTTATGATGAAATATGATGTGTAACAGAAGTTTATTCTGCCAGACCCCCTGGTGACGTAAAAACCGCCTCACCGGGGGGCGGTTTCTACGAACGTTTAGTTAGATCTGTTAAAACTACAATGAAGAAAACAATTGGTAAGTCTCTTTTATCTTACGAAGAACTAGAAACGATGTTATATGAAATCGAATTTGTGATAAACAGTCGTCCATTATTTTACATGAGCGAGGATGACACTGAAGAAGCATTAACACCATACCATTTAATGTATGGACGAAATATTGTTAATAAAATGAATGGAATTAGTTTACTACCTAATGATATTTCGAAAAGAGCTATATTTATAAAAACGTCAATATTTAACTTTTGGAGAAGATTTGCAACTTCTTATCCTAATGAACTTAAACAACACCATTTATACGTAAAAAGTAAAACTTCAAACACCGAACAGCTAGTATTAAACGATGTAGTTATTGTAGTTATTATATATATATATATATATATATATATATATATATATAATATATATATATATATATATATATATATATATATATATATATATATATATATATATATATATATACGAGATGATATTAAGATCCCTAGAAGTCAAT